TCGTTTTGCTACTTTGATCTAACAAAAAAAAAAAACTTTAAATAGAATTACAGAATTAAAAAACAAAATAGTAAACGTCCTATTCATAAATACACTACACTGATGTTTTATGTTGTTTGTTAGACCTATCTTCGAATTACTTATCAGTTCTTAAATCTTAAAAATGCGCCAAAATTATGTCAACCTTTCTCGCAGTGGGTTGGGGGGTTGTCAAAACTTCGGTTTTTCCATGTGCGATTTTGTTGATAGCACATTTTATATTGAAAATACTAAAGTTATAATAAATCGAAAATATTTTTTAAAAAAAACATACAATTTCGGCACTTATGCACATATGAGAATGTCTGAGTACATTTTTTTTTCCATCGATAAATATTCATACATTTTAGGCAGAAAAAAACGTCGGTCTAACGACAAAAACAATGTATAAAATTGTCAATGTTTGAATTTCCAATTTTTTTTTTTTGGTTTTCTTTTGCACATCTTAGTTGTTACTTTTTACACGTTGAAAATCCTAAGGTCACAGCAAATCGTCGAAACATGAAAATGTTATCGAATCGGATACACTATTAGCACACCATTTGCGCACATAGATATTGAATTATTGTACGACTACTGCCTGTAATAGTCCGTAAAACAAATAGTAACCTAACCTTAAGTATGGCTATCGACAGATGTTCACAAGGGAAAAAGCCATTAAAATTGGGGTCGGGACTTCAGTTGGACCGAACTGACTGAATGTGATAAAATCACTTTTAAAAAATGTCATTAAAACCTAGAACTTATGCTTGGGCACTCAAAACTTACCGAGACCACTCAAAATAGCATCCGTTAAAATATTGGCATGATTTGATAATTTTTTTTTAAACATTTTATTTTAGTACATAAATAATAATATATTTTTTATCATTACTCTAATAATAACTTATATGTCTTACTAAAATCATAAAAACACAAATTTTTTGGCAATCAATTAATTTGATTTATAAGTAAAAAAAAAAATATTGACACAGTAAAATAGTTTCTAAAGATTCTATACTACAGTATTAGAAAATATTAATATTTTAATTTTTTTAGTGTTTCCTTAAACTTTATTAATTTTTGAAACTTAAATGGTAAAGTATATATTTTATTGCCTTATTGTATACTACTACGAAGTATTGCATTCAAGTATCAAAATTTGATAAACCGTTAACAAATAGTAAAAAGATAAAAATTGGAATATTTTCTACTAGGTATTGTGCTAAAATATAAACAAATTTTTTTTCAATAGGCACCACTACAAAATTGCATTTATTTTTGAGAGTGAGCTCAACAAATGCTGCCCGAAAGACAGGTACCTAATATAGTTGTTTATCAGTATGTTACCTGCATTGTATTTAAAAACTATTTCAAGATTTATCAATTCCATTCCAATGGTATTTTCCACGAACTGTAGGATTTCTGACTCGTTGGTAAATTGTTTGTAATTTTTAAACAGTTTATTCAACTCTATCAATTGATCCATGTTTAATCCGGCGCTCTGAAAATATTAAGTACAACGACTATCAATTAGTAAACGTGCTGTGTAAACCTATTGCCGATGACGTGGCAGATTCACACGCATATGTGCTGTGTCCTAGATACTCGTTATATATTTAATTTTTGAGTTTATACTATCCGATGCGAATAATTAAAATATAGTAGGTATCATACTCTTACCCATGCTGACGTCAGGAAAATACACCGCGCAGACAACAAGGGCGCTCTTGAAATGCATAGTTTTCTGGGGTTTTTAAAATAATTAAAGTAAGAATTCAATCGAGTACTTGTACTGTTATAGCTGTAAGACTATCGGTATCGCAGACGAACGACCAATAAACCGTAAAATATGTATTTCCTTCGCGGCTTCGGTGTCGCGTTGACCCAATTGCATCAATCAAACATTTCTTGCAAGAAAAAATATATTTCGTTATGTTCTGGATATTTTTTTCCATAGCACCATGATAGATTTGCAAGACAAACACAAACCGTGTTTATTTTTGCGTTATTGTCAATGTCGATAAAATATTATCAATGTAACCGTCGTGACTATAATATAATAAATAATATTTTATGGTGATAACCGCATTACAATCGTGATTATCGAAAGTGGCTGGTACACGTGCCGTTGGTTCATACAAGTGGTTACAATTTCAAGTTTTATGTTAATTTCAGTGATTTTGTGACTTTTTCGGTTTTTACTAAGTAAAACAATTCGAATAAGTACACAGTGTAATTCTTTATAAATTTTACATAGATGGTAGACTATTGATAAACGATTGTTCTGTTTTACACTAGTTTTGCGTTCAAGAAAAATACAAAAAGAACTATTTAAGAAAAAAAAACTGTATTTTTAATTGCTGACTATAAAAATATGCTATAGTAAATTAATATTATCAAATTATATAGCATTTAAATCGTTATGTTCTGTAGTTTTTAACAGTATAATACTTATCAATGTAACTATTTGCGCAAAGAAGATTTATGAGCACAAAAAGTTCAAATCTATAGGTCTCAAAAATATGGGTGATCCGTCTAACGTAAGACACTCGTTTCCTCTGAATTTTATGCTAAGTAGGGTAATTTTCATTCAATGATTGCGATTGAATTTTGTTTAATGATACATGGACACTTCTAAAACTGTGTAGCTATAAAATAAGTACATAGTCAAGGAAAATTCATAGCCCTTTATAGTTTGGCGGCATCTATTTCAGACACCATCTACAGGACTTAATTTTAAAGTAACATTAATGTTCCCTTAAACAAAAATGATACAAATAAGTAGTAGAATAGTAATAGTGTTCTAATGAAAAAAATAGTTCTGCCCGTCTAAGGTATTTTTACAAGTGGCCTTCATATATACCACTGTATGGATAATTTCCGAACCATTAAAATAATTCTGCGCGTCTGCCGTTCGAATTAAAGTGGTTTTCATAGAGGCCACTGACATATAAAGGGTTAAACTTTTTATTTTATTTTTTATTACTATTTCCTGTGCGCTGGAATATATTTTAACGGACATTTGATTGTCATCATAGTTTTCTGTGTTCTCGAGAATAAACGGACATTACATTAAAAACACGGACCTGACTTTGTTTGTTTTTTTTTCTATTTATACTATTTTTTTTTTTTTGCGTGTAACCACCTCGTCATCACGTAAAACGCCGACCACCCCAAGTGTTACGTCAATAATACACAGTTATAATAAATAATAATAGTAGCAAATGTTTACATTACACCTGTACAGGGTGAACATTTTATCGTGAACCACTCAGAATTTCACGGGGTTTAATTAGTAATTTAATTTTTTCTTTTTTAAACTTTCTTATTTTAAGTGATTTTAGTTTTTTACTATTTTTTTTTTATACTTGTTCCCCCTCCCAGATAGATAACATAGATGTTAAATTTAGTATAATATATAATTTCTGTATGGAAGAATGCAAAAGACAGTTAATGTTGGTTCCAACCAATTAGGCTTAAGATAAGTACGTACGCCTATCAAATGACGACATAACATGTGTCTATTATTCTTGAATATTATAACCTATTTAATAAACAATTAATCGTCGAGTCGGCCAGATGTGTGTAAGTTAGCCATTGTATATTATTAAATAGTAGTGTTCCACTATGTTTATAATTAGCGGTCTAACTATTTATTTTTCATTCCTCTTTTAATAAACTATCTTAGGCGTTACACATTTTTTTGTCTTTTACTAAATTGCTTTGGGCATTTCATATGTACAGTGTAATACATATAAAAGTGATAAAATCACTTTCAAGTTAATGATTTGATGGGAATTTTCGGTTAGAATAATCAAACCAGGACGGTCCGGACCAACCACAATGCTGGCATTTTTATATTGAAGGCGTAAATAACAAAAAACATTGTTATTTTCATGGTAGCTTATTGTTTAGTTTAGTAGATATATAAGTGTTGAAGTAAATATAGAGTGGTTTTCCAGATCCTGTGGTGGGTAAGGAGGACCTTAACAGGCCTCATTAGCTTACTCATTGTAGAAGATATTGAGAGACTGCGATAGTTAATATTTTATACAATTTTCAATATGTCTCAACCAAACCAAATAAAAAAGTTAAATAAAAACAAAGTTCTTACAACAATTCGATTCGGTGTTGAACTCATTTTATTTAACCCCACCACACCGTCTCAAAGCTCATAACTGAATATAAAAAAACACAATAAGAAAGCACGGTAAAAGACGATTAAAAAAAAAACCAAATTAAAAAGGTTTAATTTTAATGAGAAAATTGTGCCAACTCTTACATTCAACAAATATCTTATATGGCCTTTTAGAAATAACATAATATACATTTTTTAGCTTCGATGCGATAGCAAGAAGCTATCGGTTTTACATATTGATGTGTTTTTTTATATTTATGTCCTTAATCAAATATCTTTTTTCAGTGGTCCAAATTTTTCGTGCAGTACCTATTTAAATTACCTTGGAAATAGTACCTATTTTCAAGACATCTTTTTCAACCCCAAAACCCGGAAAACCTTGACCGGGTTTTCAACTGTCAACTTTGACAGCTTTCTTACAAAAAGAATAACACCACATTTTTAATTTTTGGTTCATTTACCAATTTTATAGATAGTTTTTTATGTCTCCTGAACAATTTTGAAAAATTTACGTACGTGGTTATTGCACCGGGGCCTTCAATTTTAGTCTAGGCTCCGACCGTAAAAGGGTTTTACTAAAAAAAATTACTAATTTTGGTTATTTAACGCGAAAAACGAGAAATGTTGAGGGTTTCTAGTAATAGTGTTTTACCCGCGTGTGGTTTTAGCTAAAAATAGAATTAGGCAAAACTATAAGCCCGCTGACCATCCAACAGATTGTTCCGGTCTAAACCCAACTTTGCGCGTTTCACGGGCGACAGAATCTATGTGGCGGGAAATTTTCAGGAGGATTTCTAGGAAAAGTATAAAAATACAAATATAATACATTAGCAAAAAATAATTTCATAATCATGACTCAGACTGTTTATTTTCAATTATGTTAAATTTGTTGACAATTTTGATTTTAGAAGGTATGCGGAAATTATTTATACATAATTTCTGGTCCAAACTATTGTACTTGAGAAGAAAGAAGCCGAAATAGAGTATCGTCATTGTTCAGTTCGTAGATACTGCCGTTAATTTTTTTGTATTTGCTAGTTTTGTTATTTTGAGTTTTTAGAAAACAAATTTCACCGCGGACTTTAGCAGATTTTATAAGAGAATCTAGGTATTTTGTACTTCTGTACAATCCTACTAAACGACACATCTGGGGAAAATCTTCGAAATCCACACTCAAGGTGGTGTCCTTACCTTAAAAAAATAACCAAATTTAGCACATCTTATGCTACTTTTCTTTATATACAAGTCTAAACTACAAAAAAATAGTATATTATACACGGTGGCTTAATTGTACATCCGCGTTACTCCGAGTCAGTAATTTAGTTTTAATTGGGAGAACACGGATGACCATCCTGTTTATCACAATCTAACATTAAAAAAAAAATGAAATCCCGTAGTTTATGTTATATTAAACTTCATTAGAAACGTTTATATAAATAGCTATTACCAGTATACTAAGAAAAATAGTAATTTGTAATTTAGTTGTTACTTTGTACAAAAACTGTGTTAATATCTAAATATTATACAATATATTCTAACATCTATCTTGGTTAGAAGACAAATTCTTATCATAATATTACTAAAAATTGTAGAAAGTTTTTTAAAATTTAAATTTAAAATTTTTTAAAAGTTTTAGAAATAAGTGCCTATTCTAATATCCATGTTGTGTTAGCTCTATACATCTATTATTTAAAATGTTTGTTACTGTGTCAAGAATGAATGTCTGTAAATTAATCGTTATTTTATTTTTGTATTACGATTATTACTATAATTTAATTATTGGATATTCGATAGAATAAATAAAATTGGTATTAATTTATTAGTGTGTTATAAATGCAAAGAGTTAAATAAATATATAAATAAAATAATGAAACAATTCCATGTGATTACTTACGTAGCGCAACGCGGATTAATGCTTTCACAGCTGCTTTAGTGTAAAATCTTCTGGATTTCCCCAATTCTGGCAGTTGGACGTCTTTAAAATCGTCTTGATAACAAATAAAAAAAAAATATATATAATAATAATTGGTTGCCGTAGTAGAGTTGCATTTGATTTTAATTCACTAAAATTTTTACAATTTTTACATGCTTTACTTTAATTCGCTAACGTACGTACGTTTGAACGGGTATTTTGCAAATATTTAAAAATTAATTTAACCCACTTCCCGATGTCGTAAAGGGCTGAAACTTGGCACAGACACTCATCTCGGATGACAATACAATATCCTGTAATCATATTAGGATTCGGAAATCCAGGTCGACCTACACAGGGTCGAATGTGGCGGTCATTTCACTAAAATTTCGTTTTTTTTTTCAAATCTTTTAAAATGAATTTAGTAATCTATTCACCAATTATTAAGTAACTTTAATAGGACTAAAAAGTAAAAAATAAAATTAATTAATTAAAAAAACTTTTTTAAAAACATGCTTTTCTTAAAAAAGATAGTAAAAAGTGAACTAAAAAGTAAAAAATAATTTTATTACAAGGACAATTTACCAAACAATTGTTGTTTTGCAATTAAAATTTGGTTCAATATTTGTATGTGACACAAATATATTTTATAATACTGAACTCAATGAATTTGGACTTTGTCGAATAGGGCTTGATACTATCAAGGCTAGCAGAAAATGTAGACTAACCAAAGACCTACTGCAAGGTTTAGTTATTCCCCACTTCTTTTTAACTTGTACATAAAATATTAACCATCTCCGAAAAGTTTATGTAAAATTCTGATTACCTTCGTTTATATTAGGTATTACAGCTCCTGTAATCAAATATAAAAAAATCAAACAATTATACATTTCATATATTTTATATTTCACTATAACAACCATCTAATAAGTATTAAGGACACATGGAAAAATTATGAATGTAAAATAATGTCAAAAAATCAATAAATTTCGTTTAAATTAACGATTTTTAATAACTTTTAAACGGTCATCGAGACCATAAGAAAAAAAAAACAAAAAGGAATTTGACATGAAACTTCAATACAATGTTTACCGTTTGTTTTTTAACAATATAATATTTAAGTTTATTAATTGTTCTTGTAAAAAAGTGAATTTTTATAATTACCTGTTACATACCATACTTGATTTTGCATAATATGCTGGTAGTCTATCATTTCTAAAACGTAAAACAAAATACATTTTAACGTACATAATTGATTATGATAGGGAACAATATATTTATAATTTATTATTGTTCTCAATATATACAAATATTTACTAATAATTTACTATTAAATATTTACTATGCTCTATTCGTACATCTTCTTCAGTTTCTGAAATAAAAATAAAAAACATTTCATGCTTGATGAATATCAAATAACTATGTCGAAATATTTCCATAACACGAAAAACCAATTATTACCCGGTACTGCCAACATTAAAGCCATTTCCACTAAAATTAACATAAAATAAATGTTGTAATAGATTTAATTTTTTACTCTAATATAAATAAAAAGACGGAAGTAAAGTGTAAAACTCATATGTTTTATGAATTGGGAAGAAAATATTCTTGGATTAATTATAATAAATTTAGTGGAGGCTATGGTAATAAAATAGCTTAACTGAAGCACATAAGGAGGAAAGAGACCAAGAAAATACACGAGACTTATTGACTGTCTTATTGTGACTTAATTATGTTGTTAATTTTTTTTTTGTAGAGATAGAAGTTTATATAGAAAAGGCCAACCTCAAAAAACCTAAGGGTGATGAAAAGGAACGTAATAGGTTTAATGATGGAGGGGAAGTAATTTGATCAATAGTTCCCCCCCCATTGATTTTTTATTAAAAGAAAAAAAAATGTTCATTGCGGTAGCTTCCATGCATTGGAATGAGCCGACAGATTTTGAGGAAATATTGTTGAGATGAATTTGTGGCCTAACTAGATTATACAGAATTTAAGGAATGAGTTGACGTAAGCCGAAGAACAGGTGACAAAAATTTAAAAATATAATATGTTATTCTTATATAGAATTTTCACGTCTGTTATATGTTAGGTAATAAATGCCTATCATTACAGCAGTGAGGTATGATGAGTAGAATACAATATAATGGTTAGCTTAGTGTGAAAGCGATAACATCAGTGTTGTTGATCAGAAAGATTCCATTTGGAGTATATTAATTTAAGATTTACATCACTGGTGAAATTGCATAAAGCTAGTTTGTTGCAATTTTATAATTAATTTTAAATATTTTTTTTTACTAGTACGCTTTGATTATTATCATTTTATTTATTATAAAATTATAATTACCCATCGTAAATTTTCCAAGGACAATGTTTTTGATTACTGTCGTCAATTGAGCTAGAATAAATAAATAATAGGTAGGGCTATAAAAAAAAAAATTGAAAATACTTAAGCAATACCTATCTGTGTATTTTACATAGTTAGAATTAAGTACCGGCTAGATTAATATTTTTATTTTTTTAACATTTCTACTCTTTCTCTTGTATCATTAAATTAGATTTAAGGAATTTTACTGATTACACAATGTTATTACTGTGGGTAATAACCAATGCATGTTACGCCGCTAGAAAACCTTCTTAAATATTTTTGTTACTTATATCATGTTCTTTGAATCTAACTCCGATCATTAATTTTTGTCTAAGCTACCTAGCATTTGTCTTTAACATTGTAATTTATAAATCTCCTAATATTATTATTCCACTCTTTTATCATAACACAAATTTGAAATTATTAAATTTCATTGCATTTCATTTTTTTTCTTCGAATTTCTGCATATAGTGAAATTTATCTCAAAACATGAATTATTTGAGTGACTTAAAATTGATATCTGTATTTTTGTCGAACACTTTAAGATACCTGAAAATACTTGCAATATGAACAGATTAAAGAAACTAAAATTTGTAATTTAAAAATCATCTGATACTCGGACAAATATTTTTAAAACATTTTATTTTAGTATTTTAATTTTAAATACATTTTACCTCCTGCACTCTTGATGTATTCGTCTGTAATAAATTATACAAAAATAGAAAACATAAAGTATTATTTTGTATGAAAAACATGTTTACTGACTTGCAACGATAACCTGCTTATCATATTCATCTGTAAAAAAGTAAGTTATTATTTTTTATAGATTTCTACAACCTTGTGTAAAAATTGAATAATCACCTAATTCAGCTACTAACACATTTGCCAAGGCAAATGATATCAAAATACGTAAAAGTTTCATTTTTATCTGCAAAAAGAATAATAAAAATTAATCGTTATTCGTTAGAAATACAAATCATTAGTTAAAATTAAAATAATGTACTTATAATACTGGAAGTTGATTAGTGTTACTTGATTAAATTTTTTAAATTATAGAACATGCAAGCAAAATATCTATTCCATCAGTTTGTTTAACTATTTTAAAGTGATTTGTTGGCGACTTTGGGATAACCTTTTATATCAACCAAAACAGTAAAATTTAAATATATATTTTACAATGCCTTTGTTTACTTATTTATATAGCTGTTTCTTAATATGATTTCATGTTTATATAACATTGACGCAAGTACAGATTATTTTATCTTAGTCTTTATGACACATTATATATATATTTTTTTAATAAAAGTAAAATTTATTATTCCTATGATTATAACTTAAATAGAATTTTTCATATTTTTTCTTATTGACTTTTTTCTCTTCGAATAATTTCCAAATTTTTAAATCCCCCCAAATTTTTAGGATTAATAGACCCTGGAAATTGTTTTATTATAATAATATTATCGATACAGTAAGACGCAATTCGTATATAAATTTATGCTTCGCCTGTCCTTGGTACCTAAAATTAGGCTTTGCTAAAGACACGTGTACACAATAATATGCAAATATTTATTTTATAGAAAAAAAATGTATATTTATAATTATTACAGACATAATAAATTGTTATCGCAACATAATGCCGTATTATCCGAATTCTTATGATATTGAATTTGTTTATTTGATTATCGTGATAAACTGATTAAAAAAAGAACAGAGTTAGTACAATATATATCGTCTGCATATCACATACGATAAAATATTTATTGACGTCCTGTCCAATTTTAGCCTTCATCCGGTAGTTATCCACCCTTCTCAACAACAATACTACTGCATAGTAACTTCAATTATTTACTGTGACGGAATGTATTTATTTATATGCATGCAGTATTGGATTTATGTATATTATTATGTGTTCTCATACTTAATTATCATTTGGTAACTTACTATGTCTTTAAATTAAAAAATATATTTTAAATATTAAGTAATTAAAATATTAGTAATTTAGGACAGGAGGTGGAGTTACAATTTAAGTTTAAATAGTTGGTATAACTCTAGAAAATTAATAAAACATTTTAATATTGTCCAACATTAAAGAAAACAAAAATATTTCAAAAAAAACCATTGCAGTGGGGTCGGGGCATAGTGGGGACGGAGCATAGTGGGTGACTAGCTGTCCGCTGTTGCCTGTTACAATTACATATTTAACAACAACCTTTTATGGTTATTTTAAACATTGTATTTTCTTCATAATAGTATAGGAGCGGTATCACAAAGTTAGTATTTTCAAGCCAGTACAGTCCAAGCACAGAGTAAACCAGCAAAGTTAGAAAGTATTAAATTGAGTTGCTGTATTTACAAATAAGTGTCAAAGAGAGGACTAGTACAGTAGAGTATAGAAATAATAGAATTAAAGCATAGAGGCGACGGAGAGGACTCGGGTCTACAGGAGTTGTTATAAATAAAAGTGAATAAAATCACTTTCAAATAAACGCTTTGTATATTAATTTGGTTAGTGTTCTAAAGAAAAATTGAGTCTCCTATATTGAAATTTGCAACGAAGCGTTTATTTGAAAGTAATTTTATCACTTTCAGATTTAAAAATTCCTGTTTACCTGTAATTTCCCCGTCCCCACTATACTCAGTCCCTACAGCTAAGCCCCAACCCACTCCACTGGATTTTTTAAAATATATTTTAGTAGTAAAATATTCAAGACAAGTTTAGCGATTTGTGACTATATTTTAAATTACAATTTCGACACGCTATACCATTTTATGAAATAATCGAATAACTTCCAAATTTTAACGGGATATTTTTCAGTACTACAGGTGAAATACAATAAAAAATCATCCACTATTACACACACAAGGGTCCTAATCATTTATTACAATCTTGAATTATTTAGATTTAAAACACAACATTTTCCCAAATTAATCCATAATTATTTATTACTTATTGTATTTCTCTTATTAAGTCGAACGTTTAAATTTCGACCCAGTATTATTAATCAAAATACTGAACACTGATGTTAGGTAAACTTTCTACCTGTTATGAAATAACAGAATAAATACAACACATGAGCTACAAATGTGTTTGAAATCGTGATTAAAACTGTTTTTTTATTAAATTCTTACAATTTACTGACAATTTGAATATTACTGCGGTATGCAAAGTTATGTAGTGTTATATAATAATCCTAATACTAAACAATAAGTCATCCTTATAATTCCTGGTCCATACTATTGTACTTGATAATAAAGTAGCTCAATTACATTACCGATCTCGTCTACTTCAGAAATATGGCCAAATACCGTTTTGTATCTGAACCGACAAGAACCGTTTTCCGATATTAGAAGACAAACTCCATTATAGATAATAGTACTTTGTACATAAGAACTTGGAACTATTATACTTTTGTACAAACCTATTAAACGACACATTGCAGAAAAATGTTTGAAATCTTGATTATCTCCACCTAAAAAAAAAATCCTAAATTTAGCTCATTTCTTACTAGTTTTCATAATTAGCAGACACAACTTATATACGGGTATAAAACATTATAGAAAATAAAATAATGCATAGGGTTTCCGTATGTTACTCTCAGGCAAAAATATTTTTTAAATGGGGAATATGTTTGATGATAGACAATCATAACTTATTGATTATTCATCAAAATTTAAAAAAAAGGAAACCCATAGTTTGTTTCATAATTAATTTTGATTGATAGATATCTAACGTAAAATTTTACCAAAAACTAATAAAAGGACGATCCAAATGTACTTGCTTACTACTACCTCAACTTTTACTACAGGTATAACATATTAGGTTAGGTTAGGTTAAAAAATAAAAAAAGCAAAAAAATTGAGGTTAAAACCAAACGAGTACATAGACAATAAAATATATAAATTTATAAGGCAACTGTAATCATAATAATTTTATTTTTTTTTTTTTTGTACTCGCGTTATTTTTATTATCAAAATATAATTATTAGTTGTATCTTTTTTTTTACACTATTTTTACTAAATAGTACAATACCTATAATGGTATAAATTAGTATATACAAGCATAAAAATATATGTATGTTTAAAAAGGTAAAAAAGTTCTTTATAAATATTTACGTAGTATAACGCGGATTAAAGCTTTTATAGCTGGTCTAGATACATCTCTTCTATTGAGTCCTAGTTCTGGTAGACTAACGTCTTTAAAATATCCTTTATAACAAATAATACAAAAAATAACAATAAATTAGTTATTATTGATATACTTATTACAGTTCTTAAAATAGCTGAAGAATTTTGTCGATCTGCCATTAGTATTTAAAAGAACTTTATTAAGACCAAAGTAAAATGTTAGAATTGAGTCTCAAAATTGAGAAAATTCCCTTGAAACGATAATAACGGCATGCTATAATTTGTTTGAACATTGTCGAATAAGTTTCAAATGTTTATAGAAATTTGACATTTGCCATGGTTTGGATAGTTGGCTTTAACCCTTTGAAACCTCTTAAACAGTATGCTCAGATTTACAACTTGTAATATGACTAGCAGAAAGAGTAGATAAACAATGGTCTATCTCAATGTAGACATGTGCATTAGCGATTCGCCAGCGAAAAACCTCCTAAAAATGAATTGATGGTTTTAATTACTTTCGTTTATCTCAGGTGCACGGATACCTGTAACCAAAATATCAAATAACTATATAATATATAACTGAATGGAGATCAGAACATTAAAAAAAAATGTAGGTTTATGATCTTCCATCGAAAATTTACCATGGTTGTTTAGAACTATATTAAATTACACAAATTTAATAACTATTGTTCGTATAAAATTAACTAAATTTTTATATCTACCTGTTTCGGTAGTTATTTCTGTTTGCATATGAATCTGGCAGTCTAGCATTACTAAAATTCAAAACAAAACAAATTGAATTGTACGCAAAGTTATACTATGTAAGTATATAAATATTTTACGGGAACGCGTCATGTTCATAGTTTCTCTTTCTGAAATTAAAATAAAAAACATTTTAAACTTAATTAATATCAATATAACCATGTGGACAATATATTTCTATGATATATCAAAAATTTCATTACCTGGCACTGCTATCATCATAGCCATTTGCTCTAAAATTAACATTTATGACATAAAATTTAATTTTTTAATCAAATATCAATAAGAAGACGGAAGTCAATTAGAAGAAAACAAATTTTCTGATTTAGGAAAAAAAAAGCTTTGATTTATTATACATTGATTCGATGAAGATAAAAAATATAACAACAGCGTTGTATGTTATTATGTAAATCCATAAAGCTGTTGTAAATTTTAAATTTCATACATAATTCTAAAACATCTACTAGCATGCTTTATGTTGAGTATTATTTTGTTTAATATATAAATATATTACCCATCGTATAATTTTTCAGAACAATGTTTTTAATTATTGTCGGAAATCGACCTAAAATAAACAAATAATAGGTTAATCTATTTAAAATGAATAAAATATTTTAAGAAAACTTAAATCCCAGTTAAACAAATGATTTTTTTGTTATTTAACATTATATTTCTTCTCTAATGTTCGGTTCTACTTAGGTGATTTTACTGATTATATAACACACCTATATGCTATCATTAGTATCCGATAAATGTTACCCAACAGGAGATTTGTGTACTTTTTGATTTTTTACGTTCCTTATATTATTATGCCCATTGAACCTAACCCCTATATTCCGTTTTATGTAACCTACAAAAGACCTACTACAAAGCATAATATACTCTTAAGTGTATTTTTTCTTATGCTTTTTTTCATAAAAATAACGATAAAAAAAAAAGTTTCGGATAAATTAGCAAAAATATACAAAATAATTCAAAATAAATGTATATCAATCATCAATCGGTTACAATTTTACATAACGCTACTTGTCTTGTTAAAGTAAATAGTCACTGCCACTGGTAAATAAGAGGTGATTTATATTTTAATTATAGATACTGCTTATTTGGATTTAAATATAAAATAATTTATTTCCATAAATTTAGCATTTACCCCTAATTCATTCTTAATCTGAACAGATTATAGAAATTATTTGTTTTAAATTTAAAACCCATTTGGTATCCAAACAAACAAAAAGAAAACATTATTATTTTATTATTTTAGCTTTAAATATTTTTACCTGCAACTTGCCGGATGTGTAAGTCTGTAGACAATATTATAAAAACAATAAAACTAAAAAATTATTTTGTACGAAAAAATATTTACTGACTTGTGATGATAACCTGCTTAACATATTCATCTGTAAAGGAACAAATGGTTGATATACAAAGTTGATATTACATTGTGTAGCTACGTGATAAAATTTAATATTCACCCATTTGAGCTACCAAAACATTTAACGAAAAAATTCTTATTAGGGTACATACAATTTTCATTTTGTCTGCAAAAGTAGTAATAATTATAATTTCAATAAAACGTCTAATATAATTTTTACATTCGACTAAGCCATCGTTTAGCTATCAGCTTCAATGTAGAGTTAAGAGTGCTACAATGTTTTTTTTTAATTTCATAATATACTTTATGACATAAAGTTTACGTGGCTGTAATCACGGTATTTTAACAACTCCTGATTCTTGAAGGATTTATTAAGGATACAAATAATTAAACTTTGCAATTTCTTTTTCAAAATTTAAAAAAAAATTCTAAGAATGTTCACGTTGTTCAACTAAAAATTACAACTTTGTAAGAATTTGTTACGACGGTATTTTTTTAGATATTTGGCCGTAATTTTTAGACTTGGTTTGGAAAGAAAGATAAAAATGTTATCTAGAGTTGTGGTTGTTATGAAATACATAAGTATGTTATCATTTTATTTTTAAAAAATTCAAAACATTTGTAGTTATACTATTTAAATTTATATATTTTTTGATAGTTTACAATATATTTTTATTTATAAACAGACAATTTCCCCTCAACGTAACATTATTAGTTGTAACAAACATGTTATACTCAACTTATTCAGTTTATTATTTTTATTAGAGAAATTTTATAAAAACATCCAACGTGTTTTATAAGCCATTTCGCGAACGTATTTATAAAATGAAACGAGTAAAACAATATTATTTTGATTTATCACTGTGGTAAGAGTGGATTAATAGTTCTTTATAAGTATGCAATAATAATAATAATACATTATTTTATTCTAACGCCTTTAAAGGTTTGACATAATTAGGTGTAGCAACTGTTTTTTGATAAGATCACTAAACGATTTACCACACTCTTACCAACACATTAGTTTTACTTGTGTCACTTTAGACACATTATGTGTGCAATTTATTAACTAATAAACAGTTTGTACCTACCTATTTGAAATATGTTATTTTATCTACGTTGGTGCATCGAAACGTTTGCTGGTTTCTATTGTATTTCTTGATATATTTTAGGTCATAATATTTAATATTATGGGTAATTTAAAAAAAATAATAGCACAAATTTAGAACAGATCCGCATCTAAGCTAAAATGACGTTTTGAATTATTTTAGAATGTTTCACTTGATTTTCATTTTTTTTTTTCACTTTTATCCATATGAAATAGAATTCACAGTAACTATACATTATGTGTTACACTATCTGTAATGGGCTTTCGATTTAATGTTATTGGCTAAGCGGTTAAAAAGCTATCGTATGCGGGTGCAAGAAACGGATACAACAGTACACAATTAATAAGACTAGATGAAGTGTATAAACATGTACTTACAATCCTAGAAGTTGGTTAGTACTTCTTAATTAAATGATGAAATTATGGAATATACAAGCAATACATCAACTCAATTGGGGTTTTAAATGTTTTAAAGTAATTTTCAAGCCATTTGAAGATAAGCTTTTATATCGACCGATACAGTAAAATCTAAATATATAAAACAGGGAGCCTATGTTAATTATGTACAAAGCTGTTGTTTTTTTTTTACATATTTACATTACACTGATGAGATGTTTAGACTATTTCCTTTTTATTTATTTGTTTTAACTATTAATAGATTTGAATCATCTATTTTTGAGAATGAAAATGACACAATATTTATAAATATCCATTTAAATAGTAATTAACGTAGGAACGAGTACAGGTAAAAATATAATTATATTGTATTATTACATTTTTTTATATTACATTGCGTCTTATAGTTAATGACATAAGGCCCATAATTTTGTCTCATGATTATCTTCCGCTTAAATCAAAGATTACTTTTAATTTCGAAATTTAAAATAAAAATTTATACTTATTCTGTATTTTTTTTTAACATTAATTGTACAATTTGTAGCACATACATGGATAAACCAATAAATTGAAATGTACTACATATAATATATGTGTCTTTGTGATTTTAAAAAAATTCGGATTCAAGTGAGTCTTAAAAAGTTTCAAGGATAACATTTAAGAATACAGTATATGATTCATGATGGCACGAGACACTCATTTTCTCAGGAAATATAGATATTCTGAAAAATATTTGTTTTCCTATACTTGCGGGTACATATTTTACTATATTTTTCATTATTTTAAAAATGTTTTTTTTTTCATCCCTTATACGTGATAGAGTTTTCTGTTTGTTTGCTATGATTTAATAACGATTTTCATTTTCTCCAAACTGTTGTCATATTTATTTGTTATTACTAAGACTAGTAGTTTAATGTTCCAATAATTATTGTCTGTGATATCGCTGGTAACCCAAAATAATAAATAATCACTATTGTGATAATGTTAGGTGTAAAAACGGCCATATCAACACCGGTTTTTCTACCACGCGATTCGTATAAAATACATTTTGTTATGCGTCACTGTATCACCAAGATGTGCCATTATTATTTAAAGTCGAAAAACATAAATAATAACAGCATTTTAATTAAATTTAATGTGCGCAATAACTTTTTTTTAAACATTAAAATAAAAGTCATTATTATTTGGAATATTTTTTATTTTTTTAACATGAATTTACTTTACTATTAAAATATTGAATACTATAAAAAAAATTTCAACATTAAGAAAAATCAAGGGGATTCAAACTTTTTGAACATCCTGTATATATTATGTTACGTATGGATAGTAGTGGGCAGAAGTATTAATATTAAAAATGAAATTTAAATACCAATAAAAAATCATCTGAGTACATGGCACAAAAAATTGTATATTATTATTATTTTAGCAATCCCAGTGCACACACAGACAGACAAATGATTACCGGGAACGAAATAAGGTATATTAATGGTGAGGTATAACAATTAACCACGAAAAAACTGTGTGTATATGTACAAATATATATATATATAGAAAGTAAGGTAAGTGACTTAGGGTATTTATTGTTTTTGTATATAGAAAATGTTTAACGGGTACAAAGATTATTTCTAACGTGTACATAATATTTTATCCAAAATGCCCAAATTTAGGTTTCCAATTGATAATGTGTGAGGTTATATTTTGTACACTGAATTTTCGTTGTGAAAAAATGCACTAGTATATTATAAAAAACATGTGTTTGCAACACATGGTTAGAAAAAAAGTTGTTTGGGTTATATATTTTACTTTACATTCGTATAGATATGAAAAACATACTATGAGAAATAATAATCCACATAAAAATACTTAATAATGGTCTATGTACCCGGATTTTCGGTACTATGAAATACGTTGGTATATAGAAGACCTTGAAGTGATGCGTGTAAAAACACACAATTTTTTTCACCATTGTTTTTAGTGTATTTTTTGGATCGGTGTGAACATTTGATCAACAGCCCGCAAAAATCACTTCTCTAAATCAATACACAACCACAAAAACAACAATTTTACAAATTTGCAATTCCGCACAAAATAGTGTGTTGGAAATAATTTGAAATCGACAAGGTTTTAAGTTTAAAATACGTAGATTCATTTTTGTACCACGAATTAGTCTTATATGTATTTAATATTACGGTAAATGATTTCTCAAATAATGATGTTGAAATAGCGCTAAGAGCTGTTAAAAACGGCAAAGCAGCAGGAGCTGACGGCATTTTTCCGGAATTCATAAAAAAATTAGGCACTAAGGGAAAAACTTGGCTAGCTAACTGTCAACAGGCGTAGCCAACACGTATGTTATCCCGAAACTATGGAAGGAAGTTAAATTAAAAGCCATATTGAAACCGGGTAAGCCAGCCAATAGTGCACGCAATTATAGATGAATCTCGTTGCTGTCGACGGTCTTTAAATTGTTTGAAAGAGACTTCTCCTCCAGAGACTACAACCGGCAATAGAGAAGGAGCTACCGATAGAACAGGCTAGACAGAAATTGCTGCGACCAAGTATTAGCCCTTACCACGTACGTAGAAAACGGTTTGCAGTGCAAAAAAAAAGTCTGGCACAGTTTTTCTCGACTTATCCTCGACACGGTGTGGAAGAGAGGACTATTACTTAAAAGATGGTCAAAATAGTAAAATGTAGAAAGACACTTCGACTCTTGGAAAGTATGCTGTCAAACAGGAAATTTAATGTGTTTCTGAATGGCGAAGCTAGCAAATACAGATACCTGCAAAATGGGGTGCCGCAAGGCTCAGTACTCTCGTCAGTGCTGTTTGATGTCTATACTGCTGACATAGTAGAAACAACAGCAAGAAAATGTATTTATGCAGATGACATAGCACTGGTCGCCCAAGCCGACTCCTTAGTTACAGTAGAGAGCATACTTAATCGAGACCTTAACAATCTACATCATTATTTCAACAAATGGAGATATAACTAAGCATCCCCAAAAGAGACTCGAGTCAAGACACCCGATATGGGACCTTGAATTTCCGGTAGAAGCTTTGTCGGAAATATGGAAAACACGTTGGAGGGACTCAGGGGTACGAGGTGTCAACTTGATTGAAAACCCAGAGTCAAGTGTCCCTGGTTTTGATCTCCCGCAGATGGTGTGGACATAGTTAAACCGGATAAGAACTGAGCAAGGAAGATGCAAAAGCCTACTCTACAAGTGGGGAATGGAACAATCTCCTTATTGCTCATGCGAAGCTGATCAAACGAGCCGACATATCGTCGAAGAGTGTCCAAACACAAAATTCGAAGGCGGAGTGGGGAAATTGCACGAAGCCGGGACGGAAGCAATAAACTGGATATCGAGCCTGGAGACGCCATTATAATGAATTTTCTTGTTATTTTCATATTCAAATTTTAAATGTTTAAATGCTTACATCGTACCCTCTCTGCCATTGAAATCAACCTCCCTAACACCCAATTTGGTTTTCGACACAATCACTCAACTATACACCAAGTGCACCGCCTTGTTGACAAAATATCATACACACTAGAAAAAAAGCTAGTATGCACGGGTGCATTCCTAGACATGGCCCAGGCCTTCGACAAAGTGTGGCATGAAGGCCTCCTCTTTAAGCTAAGATCCTTTCTTCCTCCGTATTTTTATCTATTATTTAAATCCTACTTAGAAAATAGACATTTCACCGTACGTTCAGGTTCCTCCTTGTCTGAAATATCTTCAATTCGTGCTGGTGTGCATCAAGGTGCTGTCGCAGCCCCTTTATTATTTAATCTTTTTACCTCAGATCAGCCCACAACACCTTACTCCACTACCGGTGACTTTGCCGACGATAAAGCTCTTCTAGCCCTCCACGCCGATCCTGTAACGGCGTCAAACTTCATCCAAAATCACCTAAATCTATTATCAACATGGTATAAAGATTGGGGGATAAAAATCAACGAGACTAAATCCATCCACTGCACATTCACTTTAAAACAAACAGACTGCCCTCATATTTATCTCAATAACATACCCCTTCCAACCGCTCAAAATGTTCGATACCTGGGCTTACACCTAGACCGGCGTCTTACTTGGGCAACTCATATCCACGCTAAGCGTCTCGTCTTAAACAACCGCCTCCGTCAATTACGCTTCCTTCTAACAACAAAACACCTCAACCTCCAAAACAAACTTTTAATTTACAAACTACTCCTCAAACCCATTTGGACTTATGGCATCCAGCTATGGGGAGCTGCCAAACCATCCAATATCAATAAAATACAAACATTTCGAAATAAATGTCTCCGTCTATTAACAAAAGCCCCATTTTACGTCTCCAATGATACCCTCCACAAAGATCTCTCCATCCCAACAGTCCTTAACTCTGCCAAAACCTTCTACAAACGCCTACACTCCAAAACCTTTAGCCATAAAAACCCCCTGATCTCGGAACTATCCGTGCACACAATCCCTGGTGACCCCAGAAGGCGCCTAAAGCGAACGTGGTGTCGCGATCTATTGGTTGACTAATCCACGATCTCACACGTCATGAAGTACCAGCTCTGGCTGGCCTCTTCTAACAAGTCTGCTGTATCAATATATTATTATATATTTGCCTACCATGTAATTTATCCTTTGTTCTTATTGTAATTACATTTATTACAGATTGTACAAATTCTAAATAAAAAACAAACAAAAAAAAAAAAATGCTTACATGTTTTAATTAAACGTTATGTTATTTCTTTATTGTTATTAGTATTATTAATGCTTTATTATTATTATCTTTGTGATTAGTATTAATTCTATTTAATACCTTTATGTAAACTCACAATATTGCCGAAAAACGTATACGCATAAAGTGTATAACAATAAAATAAGATTTTCCTCTATTACTTGTTTATTTAAGCTGCTGTTCAACTTTTAAAATAAATTGGTAATTTGGTAACTCGTGCTTATAATATAATCGTCCATATTATTACATTGTTAATTTCACTTGATGTTATTTAATTTATATCAATATACATTTTTTTTTTTTGACAAATCAAAACTATTTTAAATGATAGTACAAGACGTCCAATAC